CGGCGCCGGGGCGAGCGGCCCGCCCCCTGCGGGCCCTCACATCCTGCAGCCCCGCTCACTACCTCTTTTCTCCGCCACAGGAAGCGTCTCTATAGAAACCCAACCACAGGGAGAAGCGAGGTCTAAGAGAGTGAACGCCTCTTCACACACACACGCACACACGTTCACGCGCGCGCACACATGCCACCCACGCACCCTCAGCAGCACCCACACAGTGCTGACACACGGCACAGCCTCCGGGTGCCCAGCCCAGGGAGCCTGTGTGTGTCCAGACACGAAGAAGCGCACGCTCGCAACCGAGGCACCTTTGACCATCCTGGCAGAGCTCCTGTGGACATGCGTACACACACGCTGGGAACTGTGTCCACAACACACTCTGTTCACGCTCGTCTCACACCTGCTCCTGCCCCAGACACCCGGGGCTGTCCTGCGTGCGTGCCAGGTGTGTAGACTTGCATGCGTGTCATGCACACTCAGGCTACTTGGTGTGCAGGTCATAAACATGTAGGCTCTTCCCCAGAAGGACACCTCGGGTTCAGTGCCTTGGACAGATGCACATGACAGACACACCTGCACACAGGCACGCCAGGGACGTGCCCCCAGGTGTGCACAGACTCAGCCCCTGGGCAGGGGAGCAGAGCAGGTACTGCCCAGAGAGACGCGTGCATCCAGACCGGCTCACGTGGCTCTGCTTGGGGCCTCTGTCGGCTCAGGCTGCCACACCAGGCTGCTGGCTGGGGAAGGGGCTTCGACAACACACACGTGCTTCTCACAGCCCTGGAGACAGGTGTGTCTGAGGTCTGGTGCCAGCAGGTCCTGGGGCTGCTACAGGCCCCTGCCTGTTGTGCGGCTGCCATCTCTCTCCTGCACCCCAATGCGACAAAGAGCAGGAAGGGGAGCAGGCCTTCTTCTGTCCCTTCGTCCTTTCAAAATGTATTTATTGTGAGTAGAGCTTGTGTGAACTCACGAGAGACGGAGAGACAGAGCGAGGGAGAGAGGGAGCGGGAAAGCACTTCCCGCAGGGAACAGCTGTGTCCCACCTGTCTCATTTCTCCCTCCGTGGGGGTTGGGCACACGCACACGCACACGCACACTTAGGTGTTTCTCGAATCGCTGGGTCAGGGACTCAAACCACCCAGCGGCCATGCGGGATCCGGTTGCCTTCGCTGCTAGGCCACAGACCTGGCCCCTATCTCTTCTTCTAAGGGCACTAACCCATCATGAGGGGTTCTCCCTGCTGACCTGATTACCTCCCATTGAGGGTGGTCCAGGATCCCAACCCAGGCCTTCCATATGGCCCCAGCCTCAGGCAATGGGTCCTGTCTCGTGCACTACCACGGCTGGGCCTCACGTGGGTATTTCTACAGGGACAAGGTGGCATTCACTGCCCCACTGCCCCCTTCTAGGGCTGTGCACCAAACCCTTCAGTCACAGAAGCTGGGTAGATTTTCACCACAGATTGGGGCCAGCAGATGGTGTAATGGTTACATCGCTGGACTCCTAAATAGTCAACTGCAGTTCGAGTCCTGGATCCGGTGGCTTAAATCTCATGCCGGTACGTGTGGGTGTGTGTCCCAGATCCCGAGAGGAGAATGGAGATGAAGGGATTGCAGTATGGTCATTCCCCGGGGGGAGTGACTTCCCTCTTTCTGTCTTTCTGTCTTTCTGTGTCTCTCTGGCCAGTGCACGCACTCTACAGCAAAAAGTCTTTCAAAAAAGGGGGGGGGGGCCTGGCAGGTGGCCTGGTAGTTAGGGCCACTGGACTACCACATGGCTGACCACAGTTCGAGTCCCAGACCTAGACCTGGTGCTTTCTCTCTCTGTCCCTCTGGTCAAATTAAAAAAAAAAGTAAATAAATAAACTTAAATAAAATAATTTTAAAAATTAAAAAAAAAAAGATCTTCACCACAAACTTGCGTCCTAAAAAAGTAAATAAATAAACTTAAATAAAATAATTTTAAAAATTAAAAAAAAAAAGATCTTCACCACAAACTTGAGTCCTCTTCGTCCTGGGCCTAGAGTTAAGCATAGTTCCCAGGCTACACTAGTTAACGCGCCTCCTCCCTCCGCCTCAGCTCTTTCCAGACACCTTGCTCCAGGCCTGGTACAGACCCAGTGTGTGTACCGGGTGGGGCGGGGGCTGCTTTCTGGCCTGGAGCCTTGCCAGCGTGGTCTCAAGAAGGCACACGACCATGGGGGGCTTTGGGCTGTGTGCTGTGCCACGGTCCAGGCCCGGGCCTCGCAGGTCCTCATGGTTTATGGGGTCTCTTCTCTTGGCCACTCTGAGTGGTGCTCATTACACACACACACCCCCACCCCCCGCCTTTTTAATGGTAGTGCAGAGAAGAGAAAGGAGGAGAAAGCACCTTTGACCGGGGCTTGTCAAGCCCTGATTCCTGATTCTCTTTTCTCAGCCCTCCAGCTCCTTAGGGCCTTGGGCACCCATTAGCGTACCCTCAGGCTGACTTGAGGATTCAAACCCTAGAAGGCTGCAGGCTTCCAGCACTGGGTTCAGTACACTAGATGGGCCGTTATTCTCATTTCACAGATCAGGAAACTGAAGCTGAGAAGAGCTTGCCCCAGGCTATGCAGCGTGTCAGAGACCTGCCGAGCTGAGCTGGAACTGTGTGGGGTGCTGGAGCTGGGCCTGGGCTGCGCTGGCCTTGGCCCATGGCTCCTCTTCCTGCCGAAGGCGAAGGCGAAGGCGCGGTCAGGGGCCCTGCTGGGCTGCCCTCCTAGCTCTCCCTGTCCTGCTGCTGCACAGCCGCCTCTCCCACCCTCTGCCTGGTCGTCAGTTTCTGCAGGGCCTCAGCCGGCTCTCGGGCCTATCTTTTTGTCCTTAGCTAGTTTTCCCCATTCCGGAGAGCGGTGGGCATCTCTGCTCTACAGAAGAGCGCTCTCAATTTCTCCATCCCTGCTTCCCACAGAGGGCAGCTTACTGGGGTCCAGTTTCCAACGGGGACCTTGGGGACCACGGGCCTTCCCTCTGTGCAGATCTCCTTGGCTTAGGCCTCCCCTTCTCTTCTGGCTATAATGAACTCACCCCCCCATCCCTTCCCTTTACCATAGCCACGGAAATTCACGCTGGTCACTCCCATACTTAAACACATCCCTCTGAGTTCAGGGAAAAGGGCCTGTTCTTTAGCTGGGAATTACAGACCCTTTGAGTCCCAACCTCAACCTCAACCAAACTCACCATCCCACCTTCCTGCCATTCCAAGCGGCCTGTATCCCCCCACCCCTCACCCCATTTTGCATTTCCTGTTTCCTCTGCTGAAAAGGCCTTTTCTCTTCCTGCTAAACTCCTACTCATTCTTCACAACCTGATTCCAGATTCTAGAATAAATATTAATTCTCTTACCAATTATTTACTAACCACCTCCTGTGTGCTGAGCACTACTCTAAGTGCTGGGACTCAGCAGTGACCACACTGACAAAACCCCATTCCTCATGGAGCCCCAGTACCTGCTCCTGCCCTGTTCGCACGGGTACAGGCTCCTCTCTGGGAAGGAGCACGGGGCGGGGCGGGAGACAGAGGACTTTTGTCTGTCTCCCCACACATACTCCCCCCATAAGAATGTATTACTTTAACAATAAAATAGCTAATTTAAAATAGATGACCCAGCCCATGGCCTATTGGTTAAAGAACCCAGATCCCACATGACCAACCACACTGTTGGAATCTGACCTGGGGGCTTGAGAAACATGCCAGGCACTGCGAGGGCTTGTGCATGTGTGCCCCAAACCCTGACCGGATGGAGAAGTGAGAGGGTTATGGTATGACCACTCCCATGGGGGCTGCTTTCTCTCTCTCCCCGTCTGTCTCTGGCAAGTACGTGTGCCCTCTGGCAAATAATAACAATTTTTAAAAATACCCAGAAGAGAAGGTTCAGGACTTAATCCTAAAGAAGTTCATACATTTAAGAGGGTAATTTCTTTTCTGGTTTTTTTTTTTTTTTACAAGAATTATTTATTTATCATTATTATTTTTTAATTTGTTACAGAGCATGTACACTTAACAGAGACACGGAGAGAGAGGGAGAGAGGGGAAAAGTGAGAAAGCAAGCCACAAGGTCTAGGACTTGAACCCGGTTAGCTGGGAGTCCAGTGCCTTAACAATCATGCCACCTGCTGGTCCCAAGAGGGTAGTTCCTTGAAAACAAGAACGAAATGAACCAACAACATTCCAGGGCCTGAGCTAGAGCAGGAGTAACTGATTCAAAAGTACCTAGGGCCCAGGTCAGCTACCATAGACATTGAAGGCCAAGGAACAGGCTAGTTTAAAAGAGGAAGCCACCTGTAGAGGGACAGTCCCATTCGTCTCCAGCCCACTGTTTTCTTGTGGGAATACAAGACTACATCTTTCTTTCTTTTTTTTTTTTTTGTGAAAAACTAGAAATCTGAATTTCTGTCATTTATTTTTTGAAATTTGCCAAGGGCCCATGTGCCCCCTAGAGAGAGGCACTGGAGAGGGGGGAGTAAGGGAGAATGCAGCTCCCACGGGGCATGGTGCCCCTGCGGTCTCTCCCTATCAGGTTGCCAGGTCCTAACCCTAACTGTGCAGCTGGCCACTTCACCACCACGCCATTGGCTGGTCCGAAAATCTGGGTTCCTAACGTGGCTTAAGTATCTGGGTTTTAAAATATTGGTAGTTATATCATTTTTTGACATTAGCAGGCAAAGCGGCTCTCTATCCACCTGCTGGTGGGCTGCTAGGTTTCGACCTCCGACCCACAGCCGGCTTTTCTGGACCTTTCATAGACACTTCTTGAATCTGAGCATCACTAGGGTCCCCGACTAGGACCCAGGTCTGCTGCTCCTGCCGCAACTCGACCCGGCCTGAGGACTTGGTAGTAGGGGCCCTCAAACTACTGGGGGCTCTAGGGCTCCAAAGGCTGAAGCCAGAGACGGGGTAGAGGCTCGCCGGGGCT